CTCGTTGGTCTTCTCGTTGCCAAAATCCTCCAACGGATCGGACCATAGCAGATCACACATGGGCCCATAGGCGGGCGGCTCCCTGAACCGATTCAGCTGCATTCGCGCAAACGAGACCAAAACAAAAACCAACAATTTTGACAGACGATTGTAAACATTTCAGCGAGACAGTCGACTGCCAAATTTATTACCGTCTTGATGTCGTCGAGTGTGAAAATCTCTGGCGAGAGTCCGCCGTGTATGCACAGAAACTGTTGGTTGAGCAGCGCGGCCAGGGGCAGGCAGTCGAACGCTTCCATGCACGCATCGTAAATACTTTCCGAATATTTAATAATGCCTGCAATGGCAGATTGGATACGAAATAAGCAAAAAATATCCCAAAAGGTGCTCAAGATTTATGCACTTGTTGCGGCTCTTAGAATAACATTGAGATATGCATAAAAACTGCTAATTTCTGACTTTTGATAGGCCCTATAAATCTTGACAAATTCATAATTAAATATCTCTTAAAAAGTTGAATAATATTTAATTATAGATTGTTTTGTATCATTTGCAAGGCAATTCTTGTCGATTGCTAAATGTAGAATGATTATAATTGAAATGTGTGGACTAAGGCAAAGGCTTGCTGTAAAAGATTTAAATAGTATGACTTGATACAACTAGTAAACTGTCATGATTAGCTGGTATAGCGGATAAAAAATATATACTTCCTAATATTAATAATAATAATAATGATAATAATAATAATAATAATAATAATAATATAAAAATAATAATAATAATTATAATAATAATAATAATAATAATAATAATAATAATAATAATAATAATAATAATAATAATTAAAATAATAATAATATATTACGTTGGTGCAGTCTTTTTTTGATTCACCAAATGGATGAGTCTTACATTATTTGTCTATCCTCCAGCAAGTTATTCTTAAGCTTGGCACAATGTTTATTAGTCTTATTCTTATAATAAATGACGTTAAATATCATAGGAGCTATGCATCCAAACATATTTTCGATTTCTTTATTAGCTGAGTTTTAGGTCTTACAATTAAGCTTTTCACTTCTGCTGAGCAATGCTCTTGGCTCTACTCACTAAAATCTAAAAAGATCGCAATTCCAAAATTTCATTAAGTAAAATATAACATAATAGGTTACACTTAGATTTGATACTTCTTTTATTTACTTTGCTTATTAATTCTTCATCAACTTCTCACACCCAACACTATTATTGCTTTGAATGCGGCTCTCTAAATTAGTCAAAAACTAATCAATCCTGACCGAAAGTAACTGGAATTTGTAGGCTTTGTCCTTGGTGCATTTTACTATAAGCAAAAAGTGCATTATTCTGTATATACCAACAGCAAAGACGCCGTGTTATTTGGCATATATTTTATGCATTGTAGCACTAATATATTTTTGAACACATCTCTATATATATTATAATACAAGAGTAAGACAATCGCTAAAGTAAAGTCTAAAGTGTATCTAGCAAAGCATTAATTTTTAAAATATATTTGTTATACTCAGTTGGGTCTTCACTATTTACTTACACTCCTGTTTAAAGGTGAAGTATTCCGTTAGATGCCGGCACTCGTGGTTGCCGCGCAGCAGAGACAGCGTGTCGGGATAGCTGATCTTTAGGGACCACAGATAGAGCACACACTGCGTGTAGAGTGTAGAGGAGAGTGTTTTGTATAAGTTATGTAGTTGGCTGCAGCACTGCACTCACTTACCTCTATGCTGAAGTAGCCTCTGTCCACGTAGTCGCCCAGGAAGAGATATCGTGTGGTAGCCGGCGGTCCGCCAACCTCAAAGAGCTTAACCAGATCGAAGAACTGGCCATGAATATCGCCGCAGACGGTAATTGGGGCCTCCACATCGATCATATTCTTCTCCTCGCGCAGCAGATCGGCGCCGTCGTTGATGATGCGCAGGGCGACGGACTCCTCGATGCGGCCCTCGAGCAGAAAGTGCTGACGCAGTACATCGAAGTTGGGCTTGCCCGTTTTGGGATCGTCGTAAACCTCCGACATGGTCAGCTTGTGTGTGGGCGGCAGGGGCACATCTAAATAGCGGCAGCGATTGAACTAATTAGCTTATATACACATTGCGTATACGCAGTGTGCAACGTCTGATATAAATTGTAGTGTGTGTGTGTCTGCATGTTTGTGTGTGCTTATATGTATGTGGGTTAACGAGCTGCAGCAACTTATCGCCAATATTTGGCTTGGCTAAGCTGCCAGATTTACGAGGCCTGCACATCTGCCCCGAGCTGCGGCATCTGCCAGGGCAAAAGGCACATGAATTTCTACGCTAATTACGAAAATTTTGAATGAGTGAATATAAAAGTCGCACATTGATTGGCACACACAAAAACAAACAAACACACACCCGCACACAATTTCAGATTGTCTTCATCGAAATGTTCAAATTACCGCGCATTATGCCAATAAAATGCCAATATAGCCTATAGCCCAAATGCTGCACATAATGACTGCTTAAATATTATTTAAAATTAATTAAATATTTATATAAGCAAAGTTGATTAAGAACTATTTTATTACATGTCGAACTGAACCTAAGTGGGTTTTTTGATAATTGTATACTTTATCTAAAAAAAATAATTTAGAATGTGGAAATAGAACTTGGAATATGGAAATATTAATCTGTCAATAATTTATTGTCAATTAATATATATTTCATTGAAGGCAAAATAAACGCTGGAGGCAAAACTATTGAAAACTACATTTTTGGGATACAATGTAAAGCATCGCTAAAGAGAGAGGAAGACTTACATGAGAGAACTGTTTGATATTCTAATCAGATAAAAAAAACGATTTTAGTACAAAATCTGGACTCACTATGAATTATGTGAACTTTCTGTTTTATAAAATAAATAAATAAAATCACAAACTCTTAGATGTTATTGTCACAAAGAATAAGGACACACAGACTGAAAGCTTAAGTACAATATTATTCAATGTATCTCAAGGCTTTTATTGATATTCATCTAAGAAACTAGAAATAGATATTGAAATGGCATATTTGATGATTTATACTTTTACTACTTTGAAAATGCTATGAAATTTTAATCTCATGTCAATTTACTGCACTCAGCCTCTATAAGAATATTAAACTACATCATAAAAATGGTTTATGTTCGTCTAAAAATATCTTCAGATATTTTGTATCCAACTGCACATACAGACTGACTCAGAGTTGCTGAAATAGTAGATCTGTATGCCATCAGACTGAATAAGGATTAAGAATTTCAGGATTTCCTCTAGGCAAACACAAATGATTATCACATGATCTATAAATTGTGGTGGCAAAGGATTTCCTAGTATGCTTCTTATAATACTTAGCTGTATTAAATATTTTATGAAAGATCAATAAAATATCTTTGCTAGCCAGAATTCAGTAACTTTACAGTATCGTGTAGAGTTACTTACTCTATTAAATAAATCAAATTTCGGACTCAAGTTAATGAAGAAAATGTTTTTGATTAATTGTCATAGAGAATGATAGGAATATCTTCAGAATATGTTTCGTCTATAGAATGCAGGACACTCTTAAGATCATAAAGGAATGTGTTTCGTATGGACACATTGGTTATCGTATCGTACTGTACCATCGACAATGCGTTCCCTGGTCTTTGAGTACTGCATTTTCTGTTTGTTGCAGCTCCCCGTTGCATCTGTTGCTGTTGTTGCACTTGTGCTGGCTGACTTTGTTGTTGCTGTTGTTGATTTCGTAGTTGATTTGGTTGTTGTTTTGTCCGTGCTGCTCGTTTTGGACAGCGACGATTTTCTCGTCAGCGAACTTCGCGTCGTTGTGGACATTTCGCTGGCCTATTTTTTTTTATTAGGCTTTTGTTCTTGTTGCTGTTTTTTTATAATTTTTTTTTGTTGTATATAATTCACTTGACTTTTTTTCATACACCAAAAATTCACAATTTTATTAGATTTTTTTCTTCACTTTGTTGTTGATGCTAAAAATTTGAGCTAATTTTTTTTATAATTCTTTTTTATTTGTATTTTTAATATGGGATTTTATGAGACGAAATTTTGTTTGTGTTTTAGTGCTGAAAAAGTTAGTGAGCGCTAAAATTTCAAAAAAAAAAAAAATATTATTCGCCTTTGGATAAGACACAAACACAACACTCACATACACACACATGCACGCACACGAAATACATACAAACAAACATGTGTATATATATATGTATATGGGGCAATAAATAAAATTTGTTGTTATTTGGCATATGTGTATAAATATATATATAATTTTTTTTATTTATTTATTTATAGCCAGGCACTAGCTATACTTATAGAGATACAGCTCTGCTCGACAATGTGTATTAAGACACATTCACGGCAGAATATAAATGCCTCGCAATTAATATATCAATTTTGTGCAATTATTCACAGAATTTATTAACTTTTTCAAAGAATGCTGCGGCGGATAGAGCACACTTGGCATAGAACTACTTAAGAGCTGATCCGTATAATCGCTCGACACTCGATGCTAATTAGATGAACGACAGGAAGAGCACGATTATATTGTGTATTTATATATTTTGTGCCGAATATATACTAAATATTATCTTTATTTATATTTATATTTATCTCTATTATTTATATATAGATGGCTTTGGTCACACTTTTGTTGCTAATCCTTGTGCACACTAATTGACGCGTTCACGTACTGGCATTTCCCACCAAGTTGGCGCGTCGTGATTTCCCTCGATACTGAGCGAAAAGTTTTCGTTTTGAATTTTCGCGAAAAGCTAGCAGCTAAACGAACTGTTAGACAACATCAAAGACACATTAAAAACAACGATCGAACGCATCGACAAATGGCGAGAGGCCGCTCGGCTCTGTCGTCGTCGTCGGCGTCGGCGTCGGCGTCGACGCTGCTGCCCTTGACAGCGCCGCTGCCTCTGTTAAAAATATAAAAAAATAAGAAACCATCTCTTGCAGTTCTCTTGTTGTTAGCACTATTTACAACTGTTTTATTTATTGGGTTAACGTGACACACGCGAGATCGAAACAAAAACAAATAGTGTAGTTTTGACCTCCATAAACAAAAAACAGCTCTGATCCTCCAAGCAGCATCCGTTGCTAACGATCCGCACTCTCAATGTTTTTCAACTTGACCGTGAGTCGTTGCCAGACGTCGTTGTCCTCAGTCTGTATGTATGTCTGTCCATGATTATTTCGAATATGTGTGTGTGTGCTCGGGCCAGAAATTGGGCGCCAATAGGTGGGTGTCGCTATAATTATACAAAGTCTTGACTTTGTGCGCGCCTCGTGCAAAAAACATATACATATATCCTCAATACTCACACACTCACACATGCTTTATCTGCTGATCTTTTGGAACTTGCTGCTTAATTACTCGCCGGGTTGCTTGAAAGCTGCATCGAGATCATCAAATATTATTCCAATGCCTTGCTTTAATTACAGAAAGTAAAAAATATATATTTCAGTTTTTCACTTCCGTTTAAATTAAATATAAACTAAAAAATATTTGAGATTAACAAAAGTGTAATATTATGTTATTGTGTTTAAGCAAAGCTTTTATTATTTGAAGTAAATTAAATGTAAATAAAAATATATCAATATAAAATATATAACTGGAATGAAAACTTGCATTTAAAAAATAAAAGATTAAGTTAATCTCTTTAAAAAATATTTCAATCATTTCTAAATTTATGCTTAAATATATAAAATAAATGTAAGTTTAAATATAAAAAAAGGTGTAAATTTAAATATAAAAAAAATTAGAATTTAAATATAAAAAGTATATGTGAATTTAAATATTAAAAATAAATGTAAATTTAAAATATAGAAAAAACTTGAATAAAAAAGTCTTTAAAATATTAATAAACATTTTTTAAAATACTATTATTGCTAATCCCATTATTATTATATAATATTAAATATTATCAGATTACAAATTATATTTTTCAACAATATTAAAAAAATTGTTAACAAGCTCAATAAAATATAAAAAGTAAATACAAATTTTAAATTTTCAAAAAATTTTATTTATTTAAAAAAAAATTTAATGTCAAATTAAAATCAACTTGAAAATATTATGAAAATTTATTTTGATACTCTGCACACATTGATTTACTTTGATCATAGAGTATTTCATCGTCTGCTTGTCGAATCATTTAGTTTTTAAAGCAATTTCATGCAAATTTTATAAACAGCGACAACATAAGCTGAGAAAGCGTGGCGATATTTTAATAACAATTTCGTGTTGCTATTGTTGCTGTTGCTGCTGCTGCTGCGGCTGCTTTATGTTGTTGTCATTGGTTGTTGTATTTGTTGTTAGTGTTGACAGTTCTTGATGGTCAATTAATATGTGTTTATCCCAAGCGAATGGCTCTCTCGCCAGCCAAGAAATGTGCTGACAACTACAGCAAATGCCATTTGCTGAGGTATCGATAGCTCAATTCGACAGTGTGCAAGATCATTGTGAATGCATTCCAAGTGTCTCGAAGCGAGCATATGACAGAAGTAGGTTTCCGAAACAAAGGCACAGATACAGCGCGGGTTCTAAATATATATGCCCAAGTATATAGAAATGGAAATACTCCAAAAAGCTGCATGAATATTCTTTATTTATTTTTTGACAATTTTTTTTTGTATTTATTTATTTTATTTTTTTTTGTATATTGCTTTTTCTTTGGCACTGTCTGCGGCTTTGTCTACACATTTGCACTTATTATGATTCGCTTTATATGCTTGGGTAGAGGGCCGAAGGGGCGTGGTTGTACAGCTTTGGCAGTGCTCACTGGTTTATATACTTATTTATAAGTATTTATTTTTATAGCCACAAAAATGTTGCCAGCATTTCTTAAACGCAATTAGAAGAAGGGGCTCCCAATGCCGTTGTTATACCCTGTACTTATTGATAAAGCCCGAGGAGGGGGTTTTATTATGTGCTAATGTGTGTAGTGGTTAAAAATGGGCGTGTAAAGGAACAGAAGAATATACGTAATCTTGCTGTCAATCAGATTTTCTATATAAGCATATTGAGTCAAGATGTAAAAAATATAAAGCCTTAAAATTTTGAAGTAAAAACATTCTATACAGTTGTTTAGAGTTATATTAGTTTAAGTCATAATAAATAAATAAATAAAAAATTTTTAATATCAATTAAATGGCATTCATTGAATAGAAAAATAAATTACATTAAAATCTAAATATGGTCGTTATGGTTGGCGCGTAAAAGGCGGAATCTGAAGCACCAAGTTTCACAATCATCTCTGGAGAGATGGAACTTTTAATAGAAGTATATATGTATATAAGCTAAGGGTATCTTCTAGCCAGATAACACACTTACTTGTTGTTGCTGTTTTAGTTGTTGTTGCAGCCAAGGCACTGACCACTCATTGGTCAACGCTGCGCACTTGAAGATTCATCTTGAAGTCATCTGTGTGTAGGTGATTAATTTGAACACAAGCTAAATTGATTAGAAAAATGTTTTGTTTGGTCGTCTGCCATTTAGCTGCCGCAATTCGCTTACATCTAGCCGGCAGCAATTATATAGGGCACTCTATTGCTAACCGATTTCGTTGCCTAATTTTGTGCAAAAATACTGGGCTAAAATATTCGGTTGTCGCGCTGAGTCAAGTCGCTCGCATATCAAAGTTGACACTTGTACAATTCATTTTAGCACATGTTTTGCATTTCAATTTAAATTTCAATTTAGACTTTTGTTTATTTTTAAAAATACACAATGTACACAGCGTACGCTCGGCCAACACTAAAATATAGTACTTATTTATAATACAATGTTTTTTACGGTTCGCTTTTGGCTTCCTGGCCTATAAACAAAGCAACACCAGCAGCAGCAGCAGCAGCAGCAGCAGCGGCACCTAGGAAAAGTTGAAAATAGAAAAAATAATATTGACAAGTAGCAAAAACAATTCATTCATTGTTTGACTTTGTTATTGTGAGTGGGTGTCTGTATGTGAGTTTTTTGTTTTGGCATTTGAATTACGTAGACAATTTGTTTAGCTTCATGTTAAATTATGCGATGGCTACGCAATGCCAATGCTATTGCAGTTAAATTACATTTGATTGAATGAATGTTTTTTATTTTTAATTTAAAATATTTAACGTTTCGCTTGAATTCTCAAAACTATTAACTGCCAATCACGTACATATGTTTATATAAATATATATAAATAATCATATATATATATATATATTAACTATAATTAGCAGCCGCAAACTTTTACATTTGCTTAGCGAGTGCAGCAACCGCAGCGCTGAGCTTTCTGTTAACTTAACAGAAATTCATGCCTGTGTGCTGTTAGCTTAACAGCGCACCACTTGCTATTGCTGCCGTTGCCGTTTTTGTTGCTTGCGGCCGCCATTTTATAAATTGATAAAGTTTACAGTTATCATTGTTTATGTATCTTTGGGCCATGTGTTTTAGCCTCTTGACCTGCTATCATTGTTATCCCTGCCAAACAGTTTTCCTTTGCCTTTTGTTTGTTTGGGATTTGGCGAAAAGCAAAAAAAAACAACAAAAAAAAAAAACTTTAGATACGAAAAAATGCTATATAAAATTATGTCGAATTGATTTATTGACTTAGTTATTTAGGCTCTCATAGACCTCATTCTGTTGCTGTTACTGTTGTTGTTATTGGCGTACCTAGCCTGCCTTGGCTTGGGGAAAACCTTTTCTCGTCTCGCTTGCCCCCTTTTGTTTTTTCTCTCTTGTAAGTTGGCAGCTATAACAAGGGCCCAAGACCCAGTGCAAATATTTAGTTTTCATTTATGCGTTTTTCTTTTGAACGTTTTGCGCTTGTTTGGGCCCATTTAAGTCTAACTCGATTTGCGCTGTGAGTAAATAAATATTTAAAAATAACAAAAATTCCACTAATTGAAAAGCATCCGAGCTCGCAATATTTGTTGCTGGGATCTGAAGTAAGTTTTGGGATTTGCTAAGGCATGTTATGTGAGCTATCAGTAGGTCCTTAACTGGAATCATAGAACTATAATATAATATATAGTGGAAGAGCTACTCCCAAACTTGCTGGCTCTTAGTCTATGCTAGATCCTCTTGTGTTTGTTAATAAATGTTTTTATTTATAATATATATTTAAAAATAACTCAAATTAAATACGCTCGTTAGCTTTTGTCTATCATTATGTTAGCCATAATCAGGCAATTACTTTATAGCTCTGATGCGCTGTCATTAACTGACCAATTCAGACTGTGACTGAAGGGTGATGGCTCGATTTCGATTTTGATTTTGATTTTCGCCCATCATCTCTTTTTTTCGCATTCATTATGCGCTGCACGTTGGCACATTAATTGACTCATCCACGATTCATCGGGCAGCAGCGGTGGTGGCGGCGACGGCAGCCCCTTCGGGCACTGCAATCGCTGGGATATCTTTCTGCTAGATTTGATTTATATGGGCTGCAAATTGGCGCTGCGCTACGACGCACGTAAATGATTTTCATTTTCCAATCATAACAACATGCGTGCCCGCACTGCCAATCAGCTGGCGCCACACCTCAGCACTCATCACCGCCCACACTCGCCTACTTACCTGACGTTAATATGAATGAAACAAAAAAAAACATTGTGGCAATAGTCGTTTTGGCTTTTTGTTTTTGTTGCAATCAAGCAAATTGAATTAACATATTGGGCTGGTGGGCGAAATGATGGGCAAAGTGAGCAGGCAAATAGGCGCACAGGATGTGGCAGGATGTTGATTGTATTCAGAGTTGCTGTTGCTGCGGCAGCGGGTGCATCCTTCAATTATTTATGGCCTCATGCGCGACTTGTTTGCCTTTGTTAATGACGAGGCGAAAGTAAAAAGCACAAAGTGCCAACAATTGGCAGCTGCAGCAGAGAATTGCAACAGCAGCAGCAGCAGCAACAGCAGCAGCGCTCGCAAAAAAAGTTAATTAAAAGTGCAATCAAGCAAGGACGAGGCACCAGGACGACATTTTGCCAGCAACGACAAAAAGGCCATTCGAGCCTGAACTTCAAAAACGTGGCTAAAGCTGCCGCCTTTCCCAACTGCCACGCCCACATACCATACGTATCAAAAATGGTTTGCTGTACGACATAAGCCTTAGCGCAAATACAAGCTCACACACACACACTCACACACACACACATAAATTGCTGCAATTATAGGCGTCATAAATTATACAAGTCGACGGCCAACGACAATTGGTGGGACAACGGGGGCCATGGACTGGGCTGTGGGCGTGGCACCTATTCGTGGGTTGGCAAAATGCTTTTAATTGATTTCCTTGGCTTCGGCTGCCCTTTTCCATCCATTTTGTGTCCTTTGTTTCCCCCAGCCCAGTGCTAAGTATTTGCCATCGCCTTTCTTCTGCTTCACTTATCATCAATTTTTTTTTCTACCTTTTTGCTTCTTAGGTGCAAATCCATAATTGATTGCGCATTGTTCTTTAATATGTCAAAGTGTTTCCCTGCGGGCATTGAAGCGCTCTTTTATTTTGCACTAAAATCAACGTATTAACCAGCTCCAACTACGCTCGCAGCTGACTTTGATTGGGCTTGTTTTAAGAACACTAACTCGTGCTTCAGTTTGCCTCACTTGACAAGTTATTAATTAACTTATTAAGCGGATTGCCTTTTATAGCTTTACAACAATGTTTTTGACAGCTTCTGATATTTATGGCTTCAGTTTTAAGCTGACATATTTATGTATATTAATTTTGTTTGTGTATTTATTTAATTTTTATGCATTAATTTATTTAAATATTAATTGAATTTCAAGCTAACATTTTTAACTATATATTTTTTATAAATTTGGTAAAATATATCAGGCCATTTTCTGGAATTTCAATGTATTCTAAAACGCTTTTGATCTTAAATTTATTTTTTGGCTTAAACATTTCTTAGGATTTACAAAAAATTACCTTATAAATATCCCATAAATATGATAAACAAATTGAAGAAAACTTCTTTAGTGTTTCTTCTTTAAGTTTCAGCTTTCATGTCTTTTTCTAAATCTTACATATAACGGAGTGTAATCTAAAGCTGATCAACAGAAGCATTTTTATTCACTTATATGTTGATGCTTTTTTTAAATTTACACAAATTAGTATTGTAATAAAATAAAGAAATATATATTTAATATCAATGAAATGAGATTTACTGAACATAACATTTTATGGCATTACTGTTAATATAATAGCAATGAATGGTGTGTACAAGGCGCTGCATGAAACATCAAAGACCATCATCGTTTTGGTAGTCTTATTTACCAATGAAAGTACATCAAACATTAATTTTCTGTAGATGTAATGGTGTTGCAACGGAAGCTTTTGGATTATACTCACTTTAATAATAATAATAATTAAATAGATTCTTCAATAAAACAGTTTTGACAGCTCAGAGCTGAAATAAAAAAAATATTCTTTATTTAATACAAATTAGAGCTTGTCTCATTTGCCATATTTGACAGTCTAATAAAAGTTGAATAATTGTCATCAGTGAAACTCATTTAATTTGTTGGCCATTCGAATTGAATTGAAATACGGTTTGATTCAATAAGCTGTCAACATTGAATTGGTTATGATATTAATCTCTATATCTAGACATATTTATAGCCAAAATTTAAGTTTGATTGACAAGCCTTTTGGTGGGCAGTGTGAGTAGATTAATTGTTTTCTTATTTGCTGTGCAGCTGTCGAGCAACGAATTAATTACATGTTAAAGTTGATTGAAGATTGATTCATTACAGCGCTAATTACAACTGCAGAATGTTTTCGATGGGTTGGGAAATAATATCAACGTTTTCACTGGAATCGCGCGCGATGTGCCTGCAAAGCTCTGTTGACAAGCTACAATATCGGATAATTAGAAACTTTCACCTCGGGCAGCCATTTGACAGTGGCTGTGCAAAGTATTCGCAGTTCGCATCTGGATGCCGCAGCCTTTGACCTGGCCACGCAGGCACTTGAAGGCTCGTGCGTTGAGCGGCTTTCGACATTTTGATTTAATTTCCCGCTGGCTTGGCGTCTGCTGCCAATTAAAAATAACTTAACTGCGCGTTATATAAATTTAATTTTCAAGTTTTACGCTTGGGCAATTTTAATCAGCTGTCCGCTGCCCTCGGTCCTTGGCCCGCTTCTATTAGCTAACAAAATCATATTTATTTATTAATTGTAATTACATTGGACATCTGTGGCATGGAATATCCAGCGGCCACAGTCCAACAGCTCGACAGCTCAAGAGTAATAGATACTTGTAGTGTGTTTCGACAAGGGTCAAATCGCTTGCCTGGCTTGTTATCTCCCCCTTTTCTTTTACTGTCTGCCCCTGTCTTTCTCTCTCTCTGTGTTTTTACTCTTAGTGTGCACTTTTGCTGGCTACTCACTTGCATTATGGTTTTCGTGGTATGAGCAATGGCCTTGGGGCTTAAATGGCATAGCTTAAATGATAGCTACAGTTTCTAGCCCGACTGTAGCATGCTAACATTGCGAATGCTTCAGATACTCTAGACTCTAGGCAAAGCTCAATAGTTGGCAGTCAAGGAGT